AGTGCTGCAAGGAAGACAGTTGAGGTGGGGCAGGGAAACGTTACACTTCTTGTGCAATAACGGCTTTAGGGTGGGGATGCTCGAAGTAAATACACATTATTTTTTGCCATTGTTTTCAACCTTTTGATTCTTTTCATAATTTTGCACCATGGGGATCCAAAACCGACGACAGTTTTGCGGATCACAACCCTAACCCCACGCGATCCCCTTGTGACCGACGAACGTTACGAGGATCATGACCTGCACCCCGACGATCCCTGTGAGATCCTGCGAGTGTCGACACTTTTAAAATGCCATTGAGCGAGCATCGCGACCCGGACCCCCGCGATCAATATGACTGTCCACACTTGGCTAATTAATTGTTTGGCTTAATACACTTTTTTTGATAGCGCGCCGAGGTTTGAGGTGGTAGGACATGAGAGACTTTTGGGTACAGCAGGAATTCATCAGTAGATGGCTGCAGCAGCACGGGGCAGTTTGCAGGAACCAGAGTTGGGCGCACCAGCTCAGAGTTTGAAAGGCCTTCATGACAGCTCCAACTGCCATGAGGTGAAGGTGCAGCGCATCAATGCTAACCTCACATCAGGTGTGGCTGGTTTTGCCACTACACTGACACTGTAGGTGCGCTGCCGAACGATGTAACGCAATGTAACCAGGCTTGGCCCCAGACTTGAGCACGAACTTCAATGAAGGCCATTGTCATGCATAGGCAGGCTCCCATTGAAACCGTGTGAACATTTTCTTTTTGACCGGAAGAGTGTGCCAAGGTCAAAAGAAATGCCTCGGCGCTTCGCATGGGTCCTGTTGCTCCGGTGATGACGTGTTGGGGTTTTCTTGTGTGCTCAGCTTCTGCGGGGGAAGGCGTTTTGACAAATCCTTCCGCACTGCGAAGCTTGATTCGATTTTCAGGTGCAAGCAGTGATCTATCTGAAAATTGTCTTCTCCAGGCCCCCATGATACGAGGCTGAAGACTGCCCTCCCCGCATTGCAAAGGCCGGACGCCCTGCGAGAGTATGAGCCGAACACCTCGAAGGAGGCAGCCAGGGCCGGTTAGAGAAGTATAGTTTTTCCTACAATTGCCCTCCTGGACGGAAACCATTTTGCTGTACTCGCCAGACGATGCTTGAGAAACTCGAGCTCCGACCTCCTGCTGCGGTGCTGCAACAAGACTTGGGCATGCCGGGCGAGGCAGGCACTTCAATAGCACTGTGAGACTGTGAGCCGATGACATCTGTTGTTCAGGACAGTGCTCACCAAGATGACGCCGCTGTGCTGCAACATGCAGACACTTGGAACAGCAGCATACACAAAGGAGCTATCTCAGCTATAGTTTGGTGAAGTCGTGGAATGGGCACCAGGCCATGGCAGAAAGCTACTTTGCCAGAGAGCTCGAGGATTCGGACAAGCAACTGCATGTTTAGTTTTTGGACTTCGTCTCTGACCATTCACGTGTGCAGTTGCACGCTGGTGCAGCGCAATTGTTACCAACAGTCTCTACACGTACAGTCGAAGTTTGTCCGCGTTGCAGGATTGTTTGCAGTCTGAGACATGTCCTGACACTTAGAGGTGCGAAGTGGCTTTCCAGGAAATGTTGCTCAAGTTGGGGTTGCTGCACAGCGAAACTGGTCAACGTGTTTCAGCCTGCGATGTGCCACTCTACCAGGAGTTCCGAGATGGTGGCATGAAGGGACCTGATGGCGAGCGCTCCGGGCTCAGCGCAAGCAGCACGAGCAAGCATATCCTTCAACTTGCGAAGACTTCTGGGTGATAAAACACTTTGTAAGGAAGGCGGGTCCTATTTGGGTCCCTTTCCAATGAGGGTCATCCATTTGAGAAATAACCATGTGTCTTTCGAAGCTAGCAATCTTTCTTCTTACCCACTACAGTCACTACAGCTCGCAAAGGAAATTTCGTTGCTGTGCTTCTACTAAGGGCCTCTCTTCACCTTCAAGTCAGGCTGGTCTGCCCACCTTTGACTTTCATAGGGCCGGCATACAAGTCCTGCGCGCAATTGCAGCGCGCGTTGGGTTTTGTTTTGGATTCCGCAACTGTTTACTGTGGCTTTCCCAAGCTGATGCCTTGGTTTTGCCCTAGCGGCCTCAATTTCTCATAATTTACCCGCTGTTGTATCATCTGCGGTGGTGCCTCTCACAGCAGACAAGCTTGCACTGGGCCTTGGCTCGAAGCTGAAGAACCACCAGCACCCGCCGTGGAGCTACGGGCAGTGCCCTGCGGGGCCGGGTGGCCGAGGAGCAGACCTGTTCAGCGCACGGATCGCATCTTCATGCCTGCCTCACTCTTTCTGCTCTATCCTGTCTCTGGGCCCGCAATGGTGACAGGAGCCATGCCGATCGGTGTGATGTTGCGGTGGAATGATGACAAGGCGGGCTAGTGGATGCTAGCAGCTAGAGGCGAATTACGCCCTCCAGGCTAGACTTGAACCCGGGCGTGGTCCAGCATTGCGGCACAGACATGTGCAGACTGCTTTGGCCCACATGTGATATGAGTCCACTTCCAGATATAAGTATTGGCTGTAAGTCCTCCATATTCAACGGCAGAGTATTATGCTTATGCAGACGTACTGCAAATACTCAGCGCTTGTTCCTCAGAATTTGTCGCTGTCGGTCAAGATTGTTCGGCCGCAACTAGCAGATTCAGTGCTGCTCCATGCACTGAAGGCAGCTGACTTTGAGTCTGTCCTGCTTTCAAAATCACGCTGTGCTTCCGGGATTAGATGTGGCTGGCTTGTTTTGCTTGATTTGCAAGAAATTCTCTACATGCATCTGTTCCGGTCGAGCGCGAATACTGCAGAACAGAGAGAGATGTATGAGCCATATCAGTATCAGTATATCCACCAGCAAAATCATCACGAATCAAGATCAATTTGGCAGACATGGGCCTGTGCATGCAAAGTAAGGATCCGTCAAGAGTCTTCGCTGATGTTCTCTGAGACCTAGGCGTCATTCAAGGATCTGCCACCAGTATCACTTGTCTTCCATGTGGAGTATCCTTGAAGAACCATGGGCAGGGCAGGCGCAACAAAAGATGCATCGGGCGGTCAACGCAGTTTTGGCAATCCTTTCCCAACATACTGTGGCGATTCCACAAGTCAGGCCACGCCCCAAAAACTTACATGTTGTTGGCACCGCGGGTATGTTAAGAGGCATGCGTGACCTGAAAGTACTCCCAGAACTTCTGCAATCGTGCGAGGGGTTTGGCTTCATCCGCCCGAGCGACATGGACGGCCCTGACGTGCCTTGCCGTATTCACCAGAGGATGCACTTGGAAGATATTGACGATGGGTGTAATGAGATTCCAACACCAAAATGGCCTTCAGTGCAAAGTGCTTGGCAGCTGAACCTGCGGCAGGCTGTGCCAGAGACTCCTTTGCTACATGACAGATTCTTGCCCCTCATAAGCCTAGCCTCGCTCCTTCTGCAGCCGACCCCGTAGCGTCTCTGTTGCAAGGCCTTAGGAGTCCTGGACCTCCTAGTTGACTGCTAAGTTTCAGCTTCTTCGACTTCTGTAAGAGGCATCACATGAGGATCATGACATAGCGCATAGCGCTTAAGTCCCTACCCATCCTAACCGCATGCGCATTTGCACATCTGAAAACCTTGGCCGGGACGCGCTCAGCTCTTCTGCCACAAGAGTTCCCTGCTCGACGGTGAGGGCAGCATCCTAGACGGCGACGAGGTAGGGGGTTGCATGGGAAGCCGGAAGGCATGTGCTCTCAGGGGGTGAGTGCTCCAGACTGAAACTTTGACATGTAGAATGATCGCCAGCTATGGCTTCTGAGTTCACACTCTGCCAGGTTTTCACATTAAGACTGTGCAACGGAATGTATATTTCACGTTCTGGATTTGCAGGGGGATTGTGCAGGCGGCGTTCATCGTAAATTGGACATGCTCATTTCTTGTCTGCTGTGCTGTGAAGCAGGGAGGGGCGGTCAGGTCAAGTTCGTCATGGAGTACGACGAGAGAAAGGCAGAACCGAGTCTTCAACTCGTGTAGTGCTGATGCCTTACAATCCCAAGACTTGGCACACCCCCTTCCCAACTCGGCAGCATCGGAATTGAAGTAGAGTTTTTGGCTAAATGCTCATTTTGAGAAACTTCAAAGAGAGGAGTCGGCACGCAATCTCTGTCACTCGCCAGGGCAAAGATCGCGCGATCGAGGTGGGCTGCCCTGTGATCTTGCAAAGTCTCCAGCGCGACATAGCAGGAAGCCCTTGCCAAAATTGCGCGATGCAGAGGGATCCGCGCATGAACATTGACAATGGCGATGTTCCTACTCGCACCCTTGAACTGGTCTACGAATGCACGCGAGGGTAGGGGCTATTGGTCCGCATTGGAGGAAGGGTACAGATCCAGCGCTTGGGGAACCTTTCCAGTCCTGCCCCACGGACAGGAGGTGGTAGATCTAACGGATCGGACAAGCCAGCCCGATGTTGCTTGTGCCGATGTGTTTAGGATTAGCAGGCATCGGTGCGCTCATGTTCACGAAGCCATGTTGCTTGACATGATGATCAAATTTCGGTCTCGGCGGTCTTTTCCTGCCTGCTGCCACAGTCGGGGTGCTTATGGCTGAGGTTTGTCGCCTTCACCTTTTGAGAGGTAATTTCCGACTTCATCTCATAAGCGCTCGTTCGGGCAAATTGCGCACCGCCTTAGGTTGACTTTGCTGTGTCAGTGCTTCGGGGAAATCCTGGCATATGCTTTGCATGTCGTCTTTGTCGGATGATGAATGAAACACATATCTGAAAGCCTGTCACCTAAATGTGGGATAATTGCATTGGCATGGTGATGTGAAGAAGTATTGCTGCCATTGTCAGAACACCAAAACCTTTCTCTTGCTCTGCGCGAACTCCTGATTGCTTTTCGAAAGCAGCAGAAGCCCTTCCGCAGGACAACCTGAGGTTCGCAGGTTCATACATACATGCATACATGCATGCATACATACATATGTATATTATGGCTGGTTCGTGCGGTAGCAAGGTCGAGCGCTACATCCGCAGCAGTCACTCGCCGCCTCCGCGCTATGTGCCTTGGAAGTTCAAGTTTGGCAAATGACTTTTCAAAAATGGGGTCTGCGCGCTTTGAAGCTAAGTAAAAGCCTTGCTCCAGGCCAGAAACACTTGTCTTCTTGCATCTGTTTGGGGCTAGATTTGATGCCGAAAATATCGGGAGGCCTGTTCTAGGAAGCAAAAAACAAGCAAGCAAGCACGCATCTTGAGCGCAGGTGCCACCTCCCAGCAACGTGCCTTGGCTGAGAGCTGGTGTTTGGGGCGGCTGCATGCCTGCATGCCTTCAGCAGTTGTTTCGTCTTGTGTAGAATGTCAAGGCGCATGCACAGCTTGCCCGCTAGCCGCTAACTGCTCAGTACGCTTGGCATTGATTTCCGATTTCCTGACAACCCTAAAGGGCACACTGCGCAGATGCCTGACACACCTGTTCTGCTCGGCCCCCCCTTGCAATTCCTCTTTCTGCAGGCGCGGAGAGAAGGCGACTGGGACTGCCGCTTGACTGCACATGAGGAAGCGAGTTTGAAGTCCGATTCCTTTGTCGCACTTTTTGGGATAAGAATCTTGGACATGTCCAATGCAGTTGCAGATTTTGCAGCAGATGCAATGATATGTCTGCCCTGAGGCCCTAGTTGCGGATTTCAAAATTGGGCGGTGCGGGAGGCGATGGCCAAGGGTATCATGACTTCGGCTTCTTGCAAGTAGACATTGCCCAATCAAACTCAAAGGATCTGTTTGATAGCCATGTTTGAGCATGTCTACTGACAAGTAAGAAGTCCAAGCCATCAACTACCGCAGAGCTTCTGAGACATGCAGATCTTGCCAGATAGCAGCTTAATGAAGTGGCGAGACCATCCCTCAGAGCTGGACTAGAAAACAAAAAAGGTTCGTGAGTTCAGTAGACGAGCTTCTCAAGTCAGACTACCTTGTTTCGAAGCTAGGGAATAGAGGCTCTGTTGAATTTCTGATGGTCAGGTCCACTGTTCTAGGATTCCAGGACTTTTTCTCGGCATGTGCAATCCGAAAGCCATGCCGTGGATCTCTACCTGCTGAATATTTGTGAATTCTTGCAACACTAAGACGTTCAAGCAAAGGCATTGTACTCACCACGCCTGCTTGCAGTCTCTTCCACTTGCACAGGAGTGCATGAAGTGCGGCCTGAAAAAGGACGATGCTGAAAAGGTCAGGGAAACAAAGGCTGCCGAGGACTGGTACTGGTTCTGTTTGACAAGGAACTTCTCGTTAAGGTTGTTGAAAACAGCCTGAGACGTTGTTTTGATGCAACATGCCGAAAGGGGGGCGTTCATGTAGTGTTTGCCAATTGGCATCGTCAAGGGAGGTGAGCTTTAGTTGCTCCAGCCATGATTTTGATTCATCCTGGCAGGAGGAGAAGAAGAAAGCCCAAGCCCAAAATGGCAAGGATGACAAAGCAGACAAGGAGACGACAGGTTTGCTTACGACTAGCGCCTTTTGGGATGTTCTACACTCAACAGTGCAGATTTGACCAGAGGCCATGTCAAGGTTAACGCTGATAGAAGGAATGCCTCTGCCCATTTTGATTTCTCGTAGTGAGCAGGCAGCAGTGCAGACCCATACAACTTGCAATTTCTGAATGATTCCGAAAGTGCTGTCTTGCAGTATCGTGTGCCGGAGAAGAGGGCATTCACTCGTGAGCCCATTTGAGCCCATTGGTTGGTGCAGGAGGACAAGAAGGAACGCAGCCGAGGCCCATTGCAGAGCTGTTCAGGCTTTGCTTGACCCCTCAAGACCACGTGCCAGGTAGCTGGCTGCATACTGCGCAAGACACGGACCATGAGCTCACCCATAAGATAAGTATTGATAAGTATGGTATACTGTTCAAGTCGTTCGATTACCGACATTCCAAGCAGCTGACAAGCAATCCACCAGACCGCCGAACTCGCCGGAGCCGAGATCGGCGACGAGGTGGGTCGTGTGTTTTCCTAGACAGGATACTCTCAAATGCAAGAGTGACTCTGGATGACGCTGCTGTTTCTTGGCCTTGTGGAGTCGGGTGTCAGTGAACTAACGCGGAAAGTTGGGTTAGCGTTATTCACTTAGATTGGGGAAATATTGGTCTGACTGCTTCATGCGCTCTGGGTTGGACAAATCTGCGCCATCATTGCTGCCTTTTTGTCCGCGTCAAGTGTAGGTCCGCAGAAGCTTGCAACATAAGATCTGCCCTGCCAAGTGTTTGACCATACTCTCGAGACTCCGACAACTCGGGCAGGCCTGAGTGCAAGAGCTGAAGAGCTGACAGTTCGGGCTTGGCATGTCAGGCGACAAGGATAGGAGCCGAGAAAAAGATCGCGGGGATCGTCGAAATAAGGCAGGGCTGTTTGGGGCTTGTGCTTGGTTGGAATGCACATGAGCTTCTGGGGTGCTGGTGGCTTCGTCTGAACATGGGCAGCACGGAGCATCCTGAGCACTGGAGTTGGTACTGCGGGTTGAGAGTTTGCCTTTGTCATGTGTCCAGGGCCCGATCTGGAGAGGTAGGGTATGGCACGACGCTTACGGACGCCCGCAAGTAGCACGCGTCATCTTTGCAGGAACGCAGCAGAGATCGACGGCGGAGGAGCCGATCAGATCGAGGCTCCCAGCCCTCCAGATGCTCCTCCGAAAGATTCCAAGATCATCACAGTTGCATCTTGAGCTTCTGTCCCTATGCAAGAAATCTGCATTATGCCCAGCCAATGCAATGTTTTGACGTAGTGGACAAGGTGAGCCTTCGCATAAAGAAATGTTGTTGTGTTTGGGACGGGCTTGGCATGGCCACGGTAGTTGAGCACTTGGCCACTTGGCCTTGTGTCTGACTGACTGAGATCCTCGCGACGAGAGGTCGGGACCGCGACCGGCGTCGCCGAGACCGAAGCAGCAGCTGAGCGTGAGATGCGGGCCCGCGCCCATGTATGCTTACTACAGAAGATGCCCAAGAGATCCTAAGAGCAAATGCAGGGTAACGTGTATTTGTCGTGTGAGGTTGGAAGATAGTGGTATTGTGACGTGACTGTGTTATCGAATTTAATCATGTTTTATGACTTATCAGGATGTGAAGGCTTGGTGAGCGGCGTTTTACAACGGACACCTTGAGCTGCTGGCGGTGGATCATCGTCAGGAGTTTCAATTGGATACCTTACTAGCAGCCCGAGCGTTCCGGAAAAAAGGGGGCAGGGAAGTGCAAGTTGCTACCGTCTGGTGCCGTTGGCATGTTGAGGTGCAGCAGCCCGGAAAGCTTTCTTTCACGGAGTCAATGTGTTTAAGGGCAGAGTCTAGCACTATCGGGTTTGAGGACTGAGTCAGAGATTGAAGAGTCAAGGCCTGACCCGCCGTGGACGTAGAGACGGTGACTGAACCTAGTCAACACCGTTTTATAGATGTATACTCCTTGTGTCTTCCACCCTGTTGCAGGTGCTGTTCGTTTCTGTCATATAGTTGCGCGAAGGGCAGTGAACCGTGGCACTTCCTGACCGCGTCTGGTGAATTAATTTCTTGGGGAAGCGGGACCTATTCATGCTGACCTCCCCTCAGCTTTACAACTGTTAGGCCGAAGCTGCGCTGCGTTTAGCAGGGGTGCTTCCAGAATCCATCAGAACGAGCCGTCCCATCGCGCCTGACAACACCCGCGCAGGGGCAACATACCGGGGCCAGTGGCAGAACAACAAGCGTCATGGCCTAGGCGGGCAGCTGGATCCAGATGTCCGTCTAAGGCTTTGCCAGACTGTTGCAGACTGACAGTCACAATGATGCCTAGGACAGCTGAGAAACTCAAAGCCAAGTCATTCGCAAAAAAACACAAATCTGTTTTTTTTTTTTTTTTT